TCATCACCACAAAAAAACATAATAATAGTTTATGAAATAACGTCAACAAGATATCGATATATAGTTCACTGATTATTTTTAATCAGCAACCTTAAAGTTGTTGGCCTAGCGCTGTTGTCGTTCGTGTTAACACATAAGAATAACAAAACTTGTAAAGTACAGCTGCCCCGATTGACAACGTCTGTACCAGCGACATCTTCCAGTTGGAAAACTACTGCGTAGCTGTCTTCGATGAGCCGTTATTCAATTGCTGCAGAGGCGATGTAATGCTGACCACAAAACCTGCTAAGCGAACGGGAGTCATGTATTGCTGACAACGCTTTCTCGTCGGAATCAACAAGTGAATCAGGTTTATCGTGCAGAAGCCATTTCGAAAGCCAGTCTGCCTGCTCGTTTGACTAATGACTACCAAACTGTCTAGCAAGTCTGCTCAGAATAACTTTCTTGAACAATCTGTTAATGTGACAACAGGCATGCTGGAGGTAGCTTCGGAGCAGTTCTGTCGCTTTTCATGTGCAATTGACCTGAAGACGACTTATTCCGTGACTTGGGCTTCTACCTCTGCAAAGTATTTAGTGAATTTTGCCGCAACCACCTCATAGGTCATATCCATTCATTTCTAATAGATCAACTACAATGCAATCTTCCCCGTCTAACTTTCCGCTGACCGTTTTGTAAACAGAATTGTGAACCTCTGTGATCAGCATCGAACAGCATCGCTTCCTATACGTCCTTGAGATTCACGGAGGTCATAACGACTGAACTTCGATCCTTCGGCAATGAAAAGTTTCTGATCTTCAGTCCGTGTTCTACAGGACGGTTGCGGTAAATTTGCACAATGCAAGGTTGCTTTTACTTGTCTCAAGGCTCGTCCGTTCTTCCGCCGTCTTCAAGAGTTCGCGCATTTAATAATTATGTGGGTGCATGCCGCTCAAGTTAATTATCAATAAAACTATTACCAAAATGTATGACACTTTCAGGCATGTATTATAAAGGTCCACCAACACGACGTTCAGACGCTACAAACAGCTTTATATGATTTTTAACGAAGGAATACGTTATGGCTTGTGAACCACAAAAATT